GTAGTTCTCTAAATTAGGGGGCCCTTTTCGGCTACTTGCCATAAGGGTTTAGGGGTTTTAGGGTTTAGGGTTTAGGGGTTTTAGGGTTTAGGGGTTTTAGGGTTTAGGGTTTTGGGGTTTAGGGTTTTTAGGGTTTAGGGTTTAGGGTTTACTGTATTTGGGATTCAAAAAGGGGACCTAGTTTAGAGAACTACCCATGTACTTGGCTTAGGGATAGTAGTCTTGTAGGCTAGTATTCAGAAGGGCATATGATTGTTAGGTACTTGGACCCTTAGGGCAATAGAAAGTCCTGACACCGCACATTGTGTTGACAGTCCTTGTAATTGTGCAGTACGTATAGCACCTTATAAAGCCTTGGTAAGTGCTTTGCCAGAGAGCAACAAGAAACCTTCAGCACCCTATACAAATCTCCGCAAGACTAAACCCTGGACCCGGAAGACCCGAAATCCCACAGACCTTTAAAGACCCATAACGATCCTCAACACCCCTTACCTGGACCCTAAACAACCTACAGTTCTACGCCTCCTTATTATGATTTCTATATTATCAGTCCTTCGTAGGTTATCTGGGGTTAAGGTAAGCCCTAAACCCTAAACCCTGAACCAAAAACCTAAAAACCAAAGGCCTTTAAAGACCTTCAAAGATCCTCAAAACGCACAGCCAGGCCAGGCTATGCTTGGCAGAGTCGCACGGCTTGACACCCTGGCAACACGAGCTGAATTGGCCTAAAAGAAGGTTTTAGGGCTTAGGGCTTAGAGGGGCGTTTGGGGCTTTAGGGTTTAGGGGGTTTAGGGTTTAGTGTACATATTTAGTGTTTAGATGGGGAGTTTGGGGCTGTAGGGTTTAGGGTTTAGGGGGCTAATCCTGGAGCCCAAGTTGTTACCCTTACGATTTCGGGAATCCTTACTAGTGTGATAGTACAATATACCCCCACACCCCAGAATTGTCAATCATTAAGGCCGCCGTATTACCCGGGTTTTTGCTTCGGGTCTTGGATTTGGGGTTTAGGGTTTGCAGTCTAGGGCTTCTTGGGTTTAGGGTTTACGGTTTGCAGTTTAGGGTTTCTTGGGTTAATTAGGTAGTTGTAAGGGCTTCATGGAGCGGTGGGGGTGTTGTTTCCTGTAACCCTGCCAGGTCACAGTGGTCAACGTTTCGGAACAGAATTTGATTTTGGATATTGGGGTTGGACTAGCTACCCATCGTATCTTAGTTCGGGGTTCCCTATGATATATATATATATATATATTCCATAATATGAAAATCTACCCCCGAAGCCCTATTCTGAGTAGTAAGGTGGCTATGTTACAGTACTGAAGCTCTTCTGGGCCTCGGAACTCAGCACCAGGTGACCGTTGTAGATGGGAAGACCTTCTGGGAGACTTACAGGACTCTTCAAGGCTGCATAAAGGCGCTTATAGTAATAGGGGTCTTTACAGTTCTATAAGTGTTCGCAGAGATTGATAGGCAAGAGATTCTGCGAGACCTGATTTGGGGAGATGTTCTGCCTATACGTTATATATATATATACATACACACATGCCGCATACAAGTAATTTGTATAGGAAGGGGGTCCTGTGGTTGTTATTCCCCCTTCCCTAAGGGTCCAAAGGACCTAATAATCATGTACTTGGGTTACGGATAGTAGTTTTGTAGGTCAGAATTCAGAAGAGTATATGATTGTTAGGTACTTGGACCCTTAGGGCTTGTGAGACCTTTAAAAAAAAAACGAAAATTTCCCTGAGAGGACGACCGAGATGCTGGTGGACCGGAAGGAGTTAGGAGCAGAGACTGGCGACCAGCGGAGTCTCGGCTTTCTTCTGGTTGTCGCTTAGGACTTCAATTTTTTTGGGTCATTACATGAACTAGAATAAGTAGGCTCTTAGGACTTTAACTTTTTTGGGCCATTACAAGAACTAGAATAAGTAGGTTGGCTCTTGGGACTTTAACTTTTTTGGGTCTCTCTATGAACTATGATAAGCAGGCTAACAGTTTAGGGTTTAGGGTCATTACATGAACTAGAATACCTATAGTCTCCACTGTAGTTCCTTTTTTGGGGGTTACCTTTTAGGATCCTGAATATAAAACTGGCTAAACCAAAGAAAAGGAACTACAATTGAGACTATAGGTAAGTAGGCTAAAAGTTTAGTTTTTGGAAGGGGTTCAGAAGTCTTAAAGTCGGCCGAGGAACATCGCTTCTCTTCTTGCAGATCAGATTCTAGGATCCCCAGTGGTAAGCCTTTTTGTGCCCTTTTTCTTTTTGGGCTCACTTATTCTCAAAGCCAAACAGTATAAAAAAGAGGGCACCCTTGTTATGAAGTGCCTACTGGGGGGGGGGACCTAGGATTGAGTGTGCGAATGTCATCGTTCTGAACAAGGTGGACTTGCTGAAGGAGGACGAGATTGTAACTCTCGAGGCTGTGCTCCGGAAGATGAACCAGACGGCAGAAATTGTGACTTAGTAGCTGAGTAGGTAAGCTTTAACCTTTTTGGGCTTATATAATCCTACCATAATTTAAAAGGTTAACCTTTTTTGGGCTAGGGTACTCAGCCCCTAAGGTGAGATCCAGCTGGGGCAAGATCGATTTGACAAGAGTTCTGAACACTCGTAAGTTTGACTTCGGTGAGCTTCAGAAAATGCCGGGTTGGATACAGGAGCTGCGTGGGAACCATGTGCCCGAGACTGAGGAATACAACATCTCCAGCTTGGTTTTCCGTTCCTTAAAACCCTTCCATCCACATCGCTTGGACAAGGTGTTGAGAGAGGGCTTTGATGATTTGCTGCGCTCGAAAGGCTTGCTCTGGGTCGCAGGAAGTAATGCCGCCATGGTTTGGGCGCAAGCTGGGGGTGCAGTAGACCTTCAATCTGGCAACTGGCTTCATGGAAACGTGGATCCCAGTGAGTGGCCGGCGCACCTCGAGCAGTACAAGGCCAACCGCTACGGAGACAAACGAGTAGAGTTGGTCTTCATTGCACAGAACCTCAACAAGGCAGATCTGACGAAGCGCCTTGAAGATGCCCTGGTTACGGAGGAAGAGTATCAGCTAGGTGAAGAAGGTTGGGCGCAGTTCATTGGTGAATCTTAGACTTCCCAGCGACATTTTGGGGTTGAACGTGTTTATGTACAGCTGATGGCAGCTTGAGGGCTGCACATCGAACGACTCTGTCGAGGCCACAAGTGCTGGGTCGTCGTGTACTGGAGGGGTGATTTCGATAACTTGACAAGCCTTGGCAATGTGCCAGCCATGTGCTGCGGCCATCACACCAGATCTTAACAATGGGCAGTACAGCTGACAAATCAGATCTGCTTCGCAGGCAGCAGTGAGAAAAGATGCCTCTTTCCGGGTCCTGCTTAACTTCAATTACATCGCTGTGGCACATCGACAATAACGGGTCTTCCTGCTTTCGGCTACTTGAGCAAGCTCCCGTAGCCAGAGCCCTCACAAGACCCTGATGAAGCCCCATGACTTGACAGGAGCCCCATCGAATTGCTAGAATTGTATTGGTTGCAACCCCGTCACGATTAATCCCTGTCAATTCAAAGTAGTTCTGCTCCTAGTTTGCTCTGCGTCTGCCTTAACGTTGACAGTAGGCTGTATACCAGCTCATCAACATGTTGGTCCCGCATTGGCTGAAGCCCGACACTACTCATGTGTTTTGTTTGGAGGGACGGGCGGGCGAACCATACATGAATGCACATGTTATAGACGTCTGCGTCCTGTTCTAAACTGGCATGCGGCAGCTGGACCCTAAAACCAAGACCCTAAACCCAAAACCCTAAAACCCAAAAACCACAAAACCCCAAAACCCTAAACCCCCGCCTGCTGCTCCTTTGACTTCATTGGTAAAAGGCGCCCCCTGGTTCAGAGACTGCCTGGGTCATCATCGTTGCTCAAGTACTGGGTTACCCTAACCCCCCTAGGTACCTACTATATAGGGTACTAGAGCCCCCAGGGCCACCAGGGCCCTAAATAAGTAGGTTTCTGGGGGGTTAGGGTTAAGTGGCATGTAGAAATCCTTTTCGGATCTTTAAGGCGCTTCTCGGTGTTTAGGTTTACCTTCCAGAGAGAAAAAAGCCGGAGCCCCGAATCCCCTAAACCCTAAACCCTCAAGCCACTCCGAGGCTAAACTTCTTGGTCCAGGGCTTCTTGCTTTCGATGATTGGAGAGGACCTGGGCGAGGGGCCCGTGGAGCTTTCTGACGGCATCGAACTTTTGGTTGAAAATTGAAGATATTTCATATATACAATAATAGATACACTAATTGGTTAATTCATTATATATATATACACATATTTATGTGTGTATATATATATATACAATAATAGATACACTAATTGGTTAATTCATAATATATATATATGTATATATATGTATATATATATATGTATATATATATATACATATATTTATGTGTGTGTGTATATATATATATGCATATATGTCGATAATATCCCTCCTGCAGAATGTTGGAGTCGTCCCCAGAGTATAGCAGGGCCTGTGGTTTTGAGCTTTTTTTGTTTCACTGCCCAAAACTTGTAGAAAAAACAAGCGAGTTTGCTGAATTGGTGTGGCCGTGCTTCGCGCCCGACGCATACGCGGAACGTTCCTCCGCCTACGCATCTCTGAAGGTGCCACGCGAAATTCGGCCAACTGCCGTTTAGCTGAGGTGCGTCCGAATCCCGCCAGTACACCGGGCTCAGGGCAGGCATTTTATCTGTGGTCCTCATGGTTGTCTCGGGGTTTGTGGTCTCCGGCTGGTCTGTGTTTCTCTCGGTAGTCTCCTAGTGGTCGTGGTTCTGCTCGGTGGTCCTGATGGTCGCGGTCGTCGTGTCGGTCCCGGTCGTCTTGGTCGTCGTTTCGATTGTGGTCGTGGCTGTTCCGCATGGTCGTCGTGATGCTCTCTTACTGTTTGTTGATCTAGTCCGGCATCATTTTCATGATTCAAAGAGGTTTCTGTTATTGAGAGACAGTTTTTGCTCTCTAAACCCCATACACCTCGAAACCCCTCTCTGGGTCTGCGTGACCTCAACAGGAGCAGCTCATCATGTACCCCTTCGCAGGGCCCGGGGCTCGGCAGTCGCAGAGGTATGATTTCCCCCACTCCGTTGTTGAGAAGCTTCGGGTCAGTCAGCCCTTATAACCCTAAACCCTAAGCCCTAAACTATTCATACACTCTCCTAGGCCCGAGACCCAAGGAATTGTCTGAGAGGGTCTGGCTCAAGTCCAAGAGTTTCGAGCGGCCTTGCCTACCCACAGGTCGGATACCGCGCGTACCAACACACGCAAACTAGGCCGTTCCGGAGCATACTTCTCGATTTTGGAATAGATCTTCTGAAGAAGGATCTGCCAAATCTCACTTCGAACGGCCTCCAAGAACATCTGAGTAAACCCTACGCTCTGGAAGAGCATTTGGGCCGACAGCTCCAGCTGCAGCCCGGATACTTCGCTATCCGGACACCCCGGTGAGGGGCTTTGGGGTTTAGGTTCTTTTCTTAGGAGCCCAATAGGTAAACTTTAAATTTGTTTGGTATATAAACCCCTTCTAAACGAAAAGTTTACACTTTTTTGGCCAGGGTACTGGGCGGCTAAGTTTTGAAGGAATCCCTCAAATCAAGCCTTTAAAGTTCTTTTGAAGAGATTCTACCCCTGCGTTGGCAGAGTTTGTTGAGGGTTTAGAGTGTGGATAAACCGTGGAGAGCTTCGGTGAAGTGCCTAGGGCATAGCTGCTCGGGCTGACCCCAGGAACTTTGGGGGTTTGGGTTAGGGCGTTTAGGAAACCCCAATCGCTTCGCTTTAAATCCACAGCCTTAAATTCCCAGAGAGCCCCGAAATCTGCGAGTTGTAAACAAAAACCGCCCGGAAAGAGGCAGATGCACCTTTGCGACTTCGGAGCTTCTGTCAAGGCTCACTGACACTGGCTTTTTTCGAAGGCTTGATCGGGTGCTTAAGGCCCTGAGTTTTGGGCTTAGGGCCTAGGGAAAGCTTTAAGGTTATGGTTTCTGGCCCAATCGAGGGGCGGTTCGGTTACGTCGTTACTGGAATGGTAAAGCCAGAATCACGACATGGGTTTCCACTGCTCCACCTTTCACCCCATGGCTCTGAGCCTTACTACAGTAGTCGGAATAATTAGCCAGACCCAAAAACTGTCGTATAATATTATCCTGAAACAGTATTCTAAGCGATTATGAAGCCCCTACATTGAGCAGCCCCAGAAAAAAAGCCTGAACCTCAAAATATGATGCGTTTCTTTTCTGACGGCTTCGAGCAGCGGCCTGGAGTCTTTGACTGCCGCTCCTGGGGTCTTGGCTCTTTCTGACATTCAAAACCATCAGTCCCTGGAACTCCAAATAGCCCAAAGTAGGTCCTGTTTATAGACTTTAGGCCCCAAAGTAGATACTATTTGCATACTTGGAGCCCTTGGGACTGATAGCAATGAGAGGAGTGAGTCTGTGTAGTATGTGTTTGCCTCACGTCTCCTGTCTCGAAACATGCATGTCCAGATGGGTAGTTCTCTAAATTAGGGCCCCTTTTATTTTGGGGTCCTTTTTATAAGGGTGCCGCACTATATGGGGGACCTGAAAGGGGACCCTAACTTAGAGGACTACCCATATGTCTCGCGTTTGAGAGGCACGTGTCGACATGTCTTGTGTCCTCGTGTCATGTCTGCGTCTCGCGTCTCCCCGGCAACATTATCGTCATCATCCCCTAAACCCCCAGGTACCTACTACATAGGGCCCTAGTAGCTGGGGGGCTAGGGATCATGACCATGATCATCATCAGCAGCGGCATAATCCTCATCATCACTGCACCATCACTATATGAGTATGTCCCAACCAAACCCTAAACCCCAAAACGTCTGGTCGTACTGCGGGCCAGAGAGGGAGTCATACCATGTGATGGGACTGTGAAGAGGCATGCCCCGATGCCGCCAATTGCGTGGGCCCTTCTGGCAGACGTCTCAGTTTTAGGATATAGGGGTTTAGGGTTTATAAGGGTTTAGGGGTTTAGGGTTTAGGGTTTGGGGTTTTCGCGCTGAGTACTTGCTGGGTTTTTTCCCGCTCCGACTGAATACTGCAAGGTTTACGATGCATTCAGACTACAGCTACTCTGTCTGCTTCCGTCATTTCGGGTCCTGTCGCAGGGCGTTCTCGGCTCATTGTTAAGGAGTTCTGAGTGAAGGGCGGTGCCGGAGACTCCAACATCCCAGACGAAAGATATGTTCTTGGAATCTCGTTTTCGGGGAACCTCACTTACGGTAATATATAGGGGCCTAAGTGATTACCTACACTAGTTTGGGGGCTCCTTCCTATAATTATAGTGTATAGTTACCTAAAGTCTCCATTGTTGGTTAAACCAGAACCAAAAAAGGAACTACAATGGAGACTACAGGTAGCGTATAAGTATATGGGCGTCTCTGCGGTGTGGGCTGGGACTCCGAGCACGGGATCGACAAGCTCGGGGTTCGAGGTTCATGTCATGCGCAACGGCAGCTGCCCTAGTAGCTGAGTAGGTAACCTTTCAAAGGATATAACTATTATGACAGGGTTATATACGCCCATAACGATTAAAGTTTAACCGTTATGGGCTTATATAATCCTACCATAATTGAAAGGTTAACCTTGTTTGGGCTAGGGTACTCCACCCCTAAGCTGCTCTCCGGCCTTGCAACCACCATAGCAGCCGTTTCAATCCGGGGGAGAAGGGGCCCGGCCTCTCAAGTTACCCTAAGGGTCCAAAGGGCCCAATAATAAGGTACTTTGGTTGCGGGTAGTAGTTATCTAGGCTAATATTTGGGAGAGTATATGATTATATACTCGGAACCGTAGGGTTAGGTCTAAACCTCCAGAAAATAGCGGGACATGGAGCCGTGAACCCACAAATCACCAAATCCTGAACTACCGCAGGCTCCATTGCTCCATAGGTCCTTTCCTTTGGGAAAAATCAGACCGAAGACTAGATCCGAAGACTTCGGCTGCACATTTTTAGGAGATCTGAGTCGTGTGAAGCATCAGGGTCACCATCATCATAGCAGCTACACCCTAACCCCCCAGGTACCTACTATATAGGGTACTAGAGCCCCAAGG